ACACTAAGCTTCATCGTTTGCGAAAGGGAAAGTCTTTTTTGCTTTTGCTGTTCCTAAAAGTAGATTTTCACGTAGAATTGCTCATTTCAAATGAACTAACTTCATATTGAGAAACTGGCTCAGTATCAACTGCATGTGCTAAACTGACAGTAGGTTGTGAGTGGAACGGATGAAGCCTTAAATTAGCTTATAAGCATTTTGAAGTCTTTCATGCAACTTACGATGTTGAGTACACGCGTTGAACGAATACCCATTTGCTCAAGATTTTTATAGCGGAATAACAACAATAAATAGATAGATGGTCATATTTCTTCAGCCAAGGCTGCTGAAAATATTTGCGTAGTTTTCCACCCACAAAAATAACTGTTCAGCAGCTTGACTGTTAATACCATCTAGCACAGTGGAAGGAAAAAGAGATTATATACTTAGTTGGATTTAAACAGTTTATTTTCATTTTTATATGAATTCATATGTGCTCTACACCACCGCCCCACATGCCCTTTAAAATGGGTTCGATCTACGCTAAATTTAGTTTCATACAATGATGTTGATGCAGTTGTACCTTCAAGATATTGACCATAGTGATTTCGAATAAATTCCACTAAGTGACATCCATCATCATAGACACAACATTTAAGAAAATTATAGTTAGATGCTAAAAATAAAAACATAACAAAGTTAGTAATATATGGATGCTATTTCCTACATCTGACTTTCACTATTTATTAGATGCATATATTTTCTAGTAAAAGTAGTATTAAGGATGTACAAAACAGAAATACGATAGATTACTATTTGTGTTGCCTTTTAGAAGTGTATCTGAATCGACACCTGAAAACATTCTTTTATCATAAATAGAATTATCTATATAATTATCTAATGAGTATATTTTATTATTTACTCACCACGAATTGTAGAATATAATAAACTTATGATTTCAAGCAAAGTTTCTGATCGAAATATTTCTGAAAATGTGATGACAATTTTGCTGCACCAGCAAGTACACTAAATGATCTATTGCATCGTTTGATGTATGATTCAGATCTTTGCTTAATTATGCAACAGTTTGTTGCATCAATTCCGTGTTGCCGATATCTACCCGTTATAATTTTCTTCTTCATTGAGGGTGTGGGTGTGGTGTATAGTAACAACTGGTCAAACGAGCACCCGCACCCACACCCACATGGTAAATAACTGATTATGATGAGAGGTACACATTGCTGAGTATCGACTCAGTTGCACTAAACCAACTGAACTTCCTCTTGTGTTGATCATAATACCGATGTTGCGGATGTTTTTAGATCACTCTAGATCTATGAAGCTACACTGAATTAGCTTTTTAGTGATGTTTGCGAACAACAATCGTGTGGCTTTATGCGATGGTGAATCGTAAGAATAAGAATGAAATACTGTTGATTGTGGAGTGGAGTTTGTTTTTTGTTTTTTTCGTCCTGAGCATGCTGAATCTATTTGTAACTGATTTTTCGACACTTCCATTTTTTTGCAGAATGACTCAAGATTTATTGCAAAAAGCTGTACCTACTGATCAGCCATTCAAATCAAAAATTACAATATAGTATAAGGAATCTCAAATAGTAGGAGTGAATCTGCTCTCTTATAAGATAAAACTCTGTGTCAACGTCTGTTCGCTATTGAAACTATCGAAAAATATTCTTACAGATAAACAAAATTAGAGTTTATATCGATAGTATCGACAATGACTAATGTATTGATTCAGTAGATGGTGAGTTTCTCACATCCGATCTTCTTTTGAAGACTATGAATACAAATCTCTTGGTATTAAAACAGTAGCTGATAGATTTGAACGATAGCAAGATTAAGAGAATGTTTCAGCGGTTGTTTTTCAGATATGTAATTATGACTTCAAAAAATGTTTGTGCTGACACAAGACTTTTATGCTACGTTTTCATAAGTAGTAAATAGATGTTCATAGAAGAAAAACTAGAACAAAAGTAATGCAGACTAAAGAATGAAATGATTTAGCCTCCTAATTAAATCGATTTCATGATCAACTCACTCTGTATTCTAACTCATTTTGTTTCAGCTCCTATCATTCAAATTTGCCTGATACACTTCCTCGTTTATGTACAGAATCATTGCAGTATGTTCTTAACTCGCTCTTTGCGTTGTAGTAAAAACACAAATCCGCCAAACGTGACATTCTTTTCATTCAAGCTTTTTTCCATTACTACGAGAAAAGAATGGGTAAAGTTTATTTAACCTTGGACAAAGTAAATAAACTCTGATGTCTTGATAAAATCATGCAAAACCATGCACAATTATTTTCCATTAGACAAGGCCAATCAATTCAAGTTTGAAATGATATTTCACTCTGTTTAGTATCAGTATGATTTGAAAATTTTCATTGACTTATAGTTCTAATGTGTGTGCTACGGTATAATTTGGGTACACAAAATTATGAATATCTTAAATTTGTAAAACAAAATTCAAATGCTCAATGAGACATAATTATTTCGAATTTCAGCATGGATTATCATCACAAATAGTTGAAAATAAATACTGAATTGTATAAAGACTATATTGGAAATACACCAATATAGTCTCTATGAAATGATCGAGTTTGATCGCAATATGCATGTTTTCAATTAATATTTGTAATGGCTATGCGCACTCGAACGAGTTTAATCTGCAGCAACCAGATCTGAATTTTGCGCTCATTTTAGTATTCTGCAACCTTTTCTATCGTGCATAATCAATGTTTCCTACAGTACACAAATAATTCGAAACAGAAAGACAGCTGAAATATATATATATCTTTTTAATCCTGTCGATGAGACATATTTCATAGAAGTTGCTGTAACGTAACAGTTGCCGCAATTAAACCCTTTCGTCAATTATGAAAAAGCAATGGTGATGTCGCCATGAAGAGACTAAATTATTATGAGAAAAATGAACTTAAATAAATATAAAACTGCAGCATTTAAAAGAAGACATCAAAAGAAAATAGTAATTTAATATTTTTTAATGACATGAATGTGGAGCTATTCGACTTGTATATCTAAACGAACATGAGGAAAAATAAATATAAGTTACAAAGAAGAATATGCAATAATCTAATTTATCATATATCAAATGTTTTTCAAATCTATACTCCGACACGAATAAGTGATAAGTCCCCAATCGTATTCATTACGAAATATTACTATTCGAATTTGATATTTAACGCAAAGATGAGATGTGAAGTCCTTTTTATTCATTATTTATATTTCAGGACTAACATTACCTATCCATTTCTTAGATAGCCTTGATGATAATCTTATGATCATTTACTTATCCTGGCTTCCAATACCTAAGGGGTACCACTCATATGCAATTTTTTTCCAGCAATTAATAGATTTAGTCAGCAGAAAATCTTCAAATCGAAATCTAGTCCTGTCGAAGTCTGATTTTGTGGACTCTAAAAGAATGCATGTATTACATGAAAAATAAAGAAACTTTTCAAAAATGCTTAACGATCAGCAACTAACAAAAATAATGAGTACATGCATATATGCTAGTTGTGATTTTTATCTGTGCGGTATGATAGAAGAAAGGCACAAGGAGAAAGTGGAATCATTCTCTTAAAACCATTTGGTTTTTACGATTAAGTTTTTAATTAATATTTATTCATTTTTAGTCTATAATTTATTCTATTGACTACTGAAATGATAGCGTACTAAAAAAGACGAAAGAGATATACAAAAAGATATGATATGAGCAGTAAATCAACAGAATTATAATGTTAATCATTCATGCATCATATTTTTGCAGACTGATCCAAAGCTCTGCTCTTTCTAATCGTTTTGTTCGAAAATTAAACGGTCAATATAGGGCGGCTAAGAAACTTGAGTAGAATGTTTGTCATTCAAGGCGATCATATTAATGGCAAATATCTGAATTGCGAAGAGCTTTTGATGTAAAAAATTTATATCATCTCATCCAAACTAAAGACCTAGATGTTTTTAGGTAAACAGAATAAAAAGTATAGCTCAGAGCGTGGTACACTAATATTAGCAAAAAATTCAAAACTGATCAGAACATGAAAAATTCGCTGGTAATTACTATCTATTTATTTAAATTCTGTATAGAAGACGGAAATACCAACCAAGCAGACAGATTTGGAAAAAACGCGTTTAGACGCTCAAAATACAAGTGTGAATGCCCTTCATTAACACTTATTTTATCGAAGCTGTATTATATCCTAGAAATAAGGCAATATTTCGACTTTCATGATCTGAAAACTTGAATATATGAGCGTTGGAGTAGACTTTTTAAAATGATTTCTTTAAATTAAAGTGTGCTTTGACGTTAAAAACTACAATTTTCAGACGTTTCAATGATTTGGAAATAGAGAAGTTGCCCTATTTCTTGCGTTTTCTTTTAATCACCGTGAACAAAATTCACACACGGTTCTATGAGATTTATTTATGTGAAATTCATTTGATGAAAAAATATTTAAGCAAATCTAAACTCTCACATTTTACTCAATTGTGGAACCCGTCGTTACTTCCTTTCGCTTCGAAAGTGTTCCAAACCGTTTCATAAATCGATGTATCATTTTTTTTTTTCTATATTTATGATTATGAAAATATGCTTATAGAATATATCTTGTTGATTTCAACATTTCTATTCATAAAATCACCAACTCGAACATATTTTACCAGACTATTCTTCGATGAAATGGTGATAAACATGTCTCATCTTGTTTTCCCCGCAAACTGCAATCAATCGAGGACATAATTGTAAGAAAAAAACTAATGATTCATGTTAAATCTGAGTCGAAAATAGTCATCATCTTATCTGTTAATTATCAAACTGAATAATGTTCGATTTTAATAACAATGTTTTCAATTTAATTTATTTACGTTTTCATCATATCCAAAAAAGAACAAAAAAAGAAAGTAACACAACGAGAAAAAAGTGTATAAGAACGATTGAAGATTAGATGAGATTATTTTACAGCGAAGAAACAAATATTTTTAAAAGAGACCTTTTTTTGCAGTCTTTCTAAAAAAATTAAAAAAATAAATTTCTTTAGCATGAAATAAAATGAAACTTTACGTAAGTGATCCAATTTGATCGGCAAAGCCAGTTTTTGATAAACATTCTTCCCATTCTCGACGAGCACGTTCGAACTCTTCACGTTTCAATTGAATACGTTCTTCTTCTTGTTGAATATTTAATCGATAAGTTTCTTGCGTTTTTAGGACCTAAATTTTCCATAAGAAAAATCATTTTTCACAAAGATAAAAAAACATTTTTTACATTTTGTTTGCTTTCTTCAAGTTTCTGTAATTTCTCGGTAACTTTCGATTGATAAACAGCTTCCATATCACGAGACATTTTTTCTAATCGTGTTTCTGTTTCTATTCGTTCATCTTCTAGTTGTGATAAAAAATTTCTTTGAAATAATAAGAAAAGAAAAAAATGCACCTAAATCAATCAAAAATATTTTCAAATTACTTATTAACTGAAGGTGTTTGTAATGTTTTTCCATTTTTTGTATCATTTCCATGAAATGCACTTAATTTTTTATATCGATAATTTTCATAATGAATATTATGTGTAACATCACGTAAATCATTTAAATTTGTTCTTATTAACATACTTCGTAATGCAATAAAATCACTATGAACCTCGTCTTCGACTAGAAAAATTTTAAACATATCGATTTAATAAAAATAAAAATAATAAAAAGAACTAAATCTACCATCAACAATTCCCCAAGCATATTGTCTAATTCGTGTACGTTTATTTCCTTTTTCTAAAATAAAATTGCTTCCAACAACAGCAAATGGAACCTTATCTTTATAAATTTTTGTTAGTTTATTTTCATCATCATCATCATCACATTCAGGAAATTCATATAATTTCATTTTTTCATTTGTGATATCTTGCATTATAGATTTTTTAAATAAGCGTAACTCTTCTGATGTTAATGTATCCGCTTTGGCAATAACAGGAATTATATTCACTCGATCATGAAGACGTTTCATAAATTCAATATCCAATGCTTGAAGACTAATCGAATTAAATATAAAAAAAATAGCAACAATTTTAGAAAATACGAATCAAGAATGCACAAACCTATGGCCAGTCGGTGTAATGAAATAAAGACAACAGTGAACACGATTATCAGTTATATGAGCTTTTCGAACGACACGTGATTCAGCATTTAAATATTCTTCATATTTCGAATCAATATAATCGATTATTGGTTGCCAACTAAAAATTAAAAGAAGTTTTGAAACATTGAATTCTAAAACTATAAATTATTAATAAAATCAAGATTATTTAAGCAGAAAACTTTTGATAAAATTCTTGGACGCAACGGTATATGAATTGGTTAATAAAAACAAACAAAAAAGCTCACGAAAAATATTATTAGCTAATGATTAGTTTGAGATTAATCATGAACAAAAACTGATTGATTCTCATAGTGACCTTCGTATGTTCTCCACCTATCATACACTATGTTGTTGAAAAGAAATAACATCTTCAGAAATATGACTTTAGTTGAAACAAATATTGACAAATGCTTTAATTTAAAGTCTTGATAAATCAACTTCAATGTAATATTCCAATTGAATAGAGCATATCTATTGATATTATTCTAACAGAATGAATCAATAATTTGAAAAAAGAAAATTAATTCGCGTATTTGTAAATATCAAGTAGTTACTTTTAAGACTGACTATTAAGTAATTTCACAGCATGTATCCAATACATAGGACTATTTTTCGATATGAACTGAATTGGGGTCATATACGCTTGTTCTTTAGATGTGTAACTTGAGAGAAGTTAAATTATTGGACAAGACCTTGTTCTTGACACAAAAAGAGTAGAAGAAATAGTAGGATATAGTTTTTCCTTTCTGAATGACATTGCAATGCATTGTCAGCTTTATATGATAATCAAGTTTATTCAAGAGATGTCAAACACTAATAAAGCACAAACAATGTCTATTGAAGCAATAATTCATCATAACATGTTTCATGTTATTTTATTTCTCTCGAAACGAAAGTTATTAAACAAACAAACAAGCAAGCATTGTTATATCAATTAAAACAGATAATTAAATATACGTATCTCAAAAAGAAGTATTTCATTGTAGAAAATTTTTAAAAAAATCAGACTAAATCCCAATGAAATACTGACGTTCTCTTCATTTATACTTTAAAATGTGCGTATTCTATTCTATTCTGATACTCATAGCTGTAACTAATAAAACTTTCATTTGCTGTATAACTACTTTTTTTTTGACTGTTTCATCTGACAATATATGATGTACCAGTGATCTCTTGAAAACCTGTTTTTAAGCCAAGCTTCAAGAAAGAAAGCCTATAACTAATCGTTTCAAATGAATTGAAATTATAAACTAAACAAACCAGTTTGAATTATCGACAGCATCACCAAAGCCAGGTGTATCAACAATCGTTAAACGCAATTGAACACCTTTTTCTTTTAATATTATAGAAGATGAATCAATTGAAACAGTTTTCTTTTTTCGATGAACCGTTGATGGAAAATCTTGACCGTAAAGTTCTGTTTGAAATAATGTATTTATAAACGTAGATTTGCCTAAACCAGATTGACCTAAAACGATACATATAGATATAGATATAGGCAGATAGATGGATAGATTGATAAATAGAGAGAGATCTAATTGATCTTTATTATTCGGTAGGTCACACATGTGTCTCATTAATAGAATTGTATGTGAAGAAAAAAAGAAACATACCAACAACCATTAAATTAAATTCAAATCCTTTTTTAACCGCTCGTCGATGAACTTGATCAGGTAATGAAACAAAACCAACATTTGAACTTATTTCTCGAATTCTCGGAGCTGTTTGTTGTTGTTCTTTATTAATTGAAGTCGCTTCTGATTCTTGACGTGGTCGTATTAATTTTGATATTGTAGAATTATTTGCTGATGATGATCCATAACCATGTGGTGGTGATGGTATTGGTGTTGACGTTGGATTGTTAACTATAGTTGGATAAAGAGTAGAACGATAATCCCCATTTGACGTATGACTGTGCGTTGTTGTACTATGAAGAATCGGAGATTGATGAAGATCATCTAATGCTAATCGAGTTGATGGGCCCTTAACACTTGATGTTGATGAAGACGACGAAGGAAGAGCTGATGGAGGGGGTGGTGGTGGTGGTGGAGGAGGAGGAGCAACTGGCGGTGGACCATCAACAGTTGTTGATTCATTTGTTGCGGGTACGGAAGTTTTTGTTGGTGTAGAATTTGGTGTTGATGTTGTTGAACGAAGATGAGTATCAGGACGACGCTAAAGTAACAAATTTAGTCATATTTAAAAAAATGGGTTCTCAACGGTTTGATTCAACTCTCTACCATTATTATTCTATTCTATCAACATTTTGTAATTATAAAGTACAATTTCCAGGCATTGTCTTTCAATTCAAAACATCTATCATTACTGTTTTGAACTTCAGTTCTCGTTCTATCAATTTACTTCCTACAATTACTAAAACTTATGCATAAACATAACGTATCTAAAACAATGTCAATGAAGTTCATCATGAGAAATATTTTGTAAGAACGTAGCCTAAAAAATTTGTTAGATAAAATCAATGAAAAAATGGACATAGCAGAAACTTTTCATTGATAAAAACTAATGTCTGATCAGTTCGTGCATCATTGAGATATTCTATTTTTTTCCTTCAGTTTGACAGCTGATTAGAAAACGAAAATTCTTGCTTTTTTCGTCGAGATGAGAAAGGTATACACAACTATTGTAAATAATTGTATTTACTTGGGGTTTGGATGTGTAATAAAATAAAAATAAAAGTTTGTTTATCTGACGAATAATATTTAATGACGTAATTGCCTTTTTTCTCGACATGAAAGGATTATCATAGTGAACACAACTAATCATCTAGAGAAAGAGATTAAACATTCATTCATAGCCATATATCATCGGCTCCCAAAAGAATCCTATTAATTCTATTGAGATATGTAACTAATGATGCATATGAATCCCTTATTGATAAAAAGTATGTTCATGTTGAAAATATTATCACGTAAATAAGAAACAAACGAGTAAAATTTTATCATTAACAATGAACTAGACGGATTAACATGTAAATCGTTTACTTGACATTGTTTTGATCTTTCTCATTAAACAAAACTAAACCAAACTAATGAGTAATTAGTTACTTTTGTATTTTCGAAAAAAAAATTAAAAAAATCTCCAACAATAGATAAATGCCTATCTGATTATCTTGGATCACTTTTCTGGGACTTCTTTATCATAAATAAAAGTTCAAGTGAGACAAAAATTAACGATTACAATTATCTTTTCATCACATGCGTTAACATTTATGATTATTGATTGTAAGCAAATCCAAGATACAGAAGATGATGAAATATATTTTCATCAGATAAACAAAGATCATGTTTTGTCATCGTGCTTTATTGAAATCAAATGGCGTCACGGCAAAATGAAAACATTGATTGAAACAATCATCTTTTACTTGCTGAGGCAAAAAAAATTTGTTACAACATATCAAGTATATGTCAAGATAACATTAAATATCAGAGTTGTATGAACTTTAGTTTCATTAATTTTAATGTAAAATAAAATTTCAATAACTAATTTAATTACATACGTATTTCGAGGCAAGATAAGAATGCGAATCCAAAGCTGTATTATTTCCATTATTATTTGTTAAAATATGCGTCATTTGTTTTAAACTCGAAAGTGGATGAGTTAGATCTGGTGTAGCTAAATTTTTATATTTATTCATCACTGATGATTGATAACGAGATGTTGTTGATGAAAATGATGATGATGCAAGCGGATTTGTCACAACAACAGCCGTTACACCATTTCCATTTGAATGTGTTGCCGTTGATGACAATGATTCAGTTTCAATTCCATTTGTATGAAAACGATTACTCGTCGTTGACGATTTTGATGGACTTTCGATTGTTGTTGTTGATGACATTAGTTGAGCATTATCTAAAAGAATATCTTTCAAATGTCAATAATTAGAGATTTAACTCGAAATACTTTCGTTATACAACGAACGTAGAACAAAGAGAAATGACAAATATTCAAGATGAAGTCGATAGTAGCGAGAGAGAAAAAAGAAGAGTTGTATGTCGATGTTTCTGCTTCCATCGATTGTACATTAACTTCCTGTTCGCTCGTTCATCATGTCTGTATGCCCTCTCGTCTTTTTCTTTTTCTCCGGTCACATCGAAAGAAAGAGGAAAAAATACGCAAGTCTTTTCTCGTCAAATAATCAACTTTTTTTTCTGTTTCAGAAAAAAACGATAGCGGCATTAGATCAATATGAATTAAACTTAATTTTCATTCGTAAAGATTATCGACTTACTTTAATTTTATTTTATGAATGGAAAAAAATTAGTTTTTTTCACTAATATATAAAGGACGACGGACTAATTTCTTTCGGTGAACAGCAGTAGCGTGTCTCTCTCACTCTTATTTTATTTATATCTGACAGACGTTTATACATGTATATGTATATACACGTATGTATATAGATTCATGTTCCCGTCCGAAGCGAAGAAAAGGCAAAAAAAATAGAGGTCATCTAACAGCTGCATTTATGATAGATAGGGAAGTCTGTTGAGAACAAATGTTTTTTTTTTAACAATAAAATGATCAGCATATAAATGTTTGTATTCATTCTGAAGACAATTAAGTATCGATGATCTTCATTAGTATTGACAGTGACTGTTTATTAATAAAGAACAAGTGCCTGGGTGAGACCCAGCATGTTCACTAGTATTTTTATATGATCGACACTTCCCTTTTATTAATAAGATCACTCACATTCTTTCGTTCTTTTTCAAGGAAAAAGAAACTCTTCTATAGATAGATAGACAGATAAATCATATTAATTTAATTACTGAACGATTGAATTCAACGAAAGATTAGAAAAATCAATAATTGACGAATGTGATAAAAAAAAATAATTATATTTATGCACGATCAACTTAGATATTGAAATCAATTTTTTCTTGTTAAATTTCATTTTTATAACGATAAAATAGGAATATTTAAATAGCGTAAGAGTTAAATTCACGATAGATCAATCGTAGCATAGATAAAAGCAATCTATATCATATAAAAACATGATACATTCTCATTCTCTATAAATAATGATTGTGAAGAATCTACAAACAAGATTATTTTATTCAGCAGTATTTTGAATTTATTTTTGATCGAAAGGCAAAATTTTCTGTTTTCTTAGTCAATTGGTCTATATATTTTCTTTAATAAGATTTATTGGAACATTCTTAATGATGACTGAAAGATAGTATTCAATAGATCGTAAAACAAATTGATTTGCAGCCTTTCTTTTTTATAATCGAAATCTAAATAGTTTGAAGTAAACGTTTTCTTATGAAGTTATACATTAAACATAGTTACTTGAACATGATCTGCTAAGAAAAATAATCAGAATTAAAATTAGGAATTGTTTCCGTTTCATATTCATTCTTATTTAGTTGCTTCTTTATTCATACTAACATATTTAGACAGAATAGTAAAGTTAGGCTCCTTACGAAAGATGAAAAGATATATAAGTTTATTTATTGCAAAGAATGTGAATATATAGAAAATCTTAAAAAAAAATACAGAAAGAATAAAAAAAAAAGAATCATAGGACGGCAACAAGTAAAAACTATTGAGGAGGAAATTGTGATAATTAATCATTCATCTTTTATTTTATTTTTATTTTTCTTTTAAATGAATTTAATCAAATTGTCTTTCATTCTCTTATTATTGTTCTGGTACAACACGAGACCTATTTATTCGTTTTGATTTCTCTTTTTTTGGCTTATCAACATAAAGATCTGCAATAACATCTTGATATTTTTGTTCAATCGCTTTCCGTTTTAATTTAAGTGCGTCAGTAACCAGGCCAGTTTCAGGTGTCCAAGCTTCAGTTACTAATTTAACTCGTTGAGGAGTTTCAAATCTTTCAATGGCACCTTTCTTACATGCATCTTGAACATCGCGAAGAATTTGGTCATTAAATTCATCATCATCAACTAGTTTTTGCCATTCTTTTTCACCAAAATTCTTTTCTGAATAAATCTTTCATCAAAAAACAAGAAATTGAAATTGAGAAGAGAAAAGAAAAATTCTTACAGTTATTTGTTTCGGATTCGGACATATTAAAATAACTGTATATTCAGCTGATGATGATGCACATAAACAACAATTTTCAACAATAGAAAATTTACTTATTGCCATCTCGACTTTAGTTAAAGAAACATATTCACCACCGCGTAACTTTACCAAATCTTTTTTTCGATCTAAATTTAAAAAGATATAAAAACCCATATTTCGAACATAATCAAAAAGAAAGCAAACCTATAATTTTTAGCGTTCCATCAGGAAATATTTCTCCAATATCACCAGTACAAAAGTATCTTGTACCATTGATTTCTTTAAAATTAATATTTTCTTTTGATGCACCAGCAAAATAACCATGAGCTACAGCTTTTCCTCCGATAAGGACTTCACCTCTAGGATTTGGTGAATCTGTATTGTGATAGTGTCCTTCTTCCCAATCAACTAAACGAATTTCACATGAAACAAGAGGATATCCAGCTCGACCAACACTTGTATCAAATTCTATTTTAAAAAGTTTTTCAAATTAAAAGAGATGAAATCTAAACTGAAATAAATTAATACGAACGATCTGCAATAGTAGCTGCAGCACACGTTTCTGTCAGACCATAACCTTGAAAAAGTGTAACACATAGTGCTGCTTGAACAAAACGTTGAGTTTCTCCACTTAAAACAGCGCCACCAGACATCATTGTTTTTACTCGACCGCCCAATACCATTTCATTTAAACGGGTAAAAATTAATCTGAATCATTTTAAATTTTAAATTTTAAATTTTGAAATCTAACAGAACAATAATATTTACTTATTTAAATATGGACTATCGAGACCTTCTTCTAAGCGTTTCACTTTTATTTTATACGCTAACTGAAATAATTGACGGCGAAAAAAATTTGATTGATTAATCTTTTCGTTTACAGTTTTGTGAATACGATCGAGAATTGTCTTTTGAAAATAAAGAGAAAGAAAGTATTTTTTCAGGCATCAACAAAATTTCTTCGTACTGGTACACAACACATAATATGTGGTCGAAGAACTTGCAAATCTCCTTTTTGACCTTGTTTTATGGCTGTTGATTGATCAGTTAAGGTTTGTGGAGATGAGTAACCACACTTAATACCCATAAAATAAATAAGAATTTCTACCATAGAAAAAGAAAAAGAAATTTTTACTTATTCTCAATTTCTAGTTTTAGTTAATAAACAAACCGCAACAAAGCTCAAGAATATGAGCTAGAGGCAAATACGCAATATAAATATCAGTATCAGAATTTATCATTGAGAAAATACGTTCTTGTTGACCCGTCATTGCAGCAATTATGTTTTCATGTTTTATCAATACACCTAATAGAAAATTGTTGAATTAAAAATACAACGAAATCTTATTTTTGATCATCCCATGAGATACATCGAAAGGTTTCTATTGCTAAATCTAAAGAATTTTCTTAGCTACCCTTTTTTCGCAATTTATATTGAGAAAATCAACGAAACGAAAAGTATTAAATTGCGAAGAACATATGTTGTTGTCATGCGTTGTTACTTATGGATTAATACGTATTTCATATTGGAAAATCACTTATTAAATGATTTCCAAAAAAACCATAATATCTCTAAAAGAATCACAATAGAACTTCTCAATAGGATCTTTTGAATTTATTTATCAATGAAAATCTTAATAGTCTAATGGTCTGATTAACTTATTTGTTGCTGAGGCTCTTCTAAACTATTTCATTTCATATCTCTACTATGTTTTGTTGGCAAATAAATATCATTTTTATTTTAGATAATTTAATTTGTTTTTCTGTAGGTTTTATCTATAAATACTACAAGACTTCAAAGTTGTAACTATAAAAGAAAAAATTGTAGGTTATTAGTATATTTCAATTAAAGTAGTATGTAATAGTTTTCATCGGTTGATATTATAAATAAATATCAGTTTTTTTTTCTAATATAGTTAATGAATATCGAAGACAAAATAAAAATATTAATATGTTTGAGATTCACAACTATGCAACATTGCTGACGTATACCTTGTAACTGTTCATGTATGTTGCTGTAGAAATATTTATGAATGAGAATAGATGAAAGATTGAGAACAAAGTATTACCCAAAGAAGAAGAAGAATTCTTTAGCAATTTAAGAAGATTTATTCCGTCCTTTTTTCCTATTATATCGTGAAAAAATTTCTTCAAAGTCCTCTTCAGTTGATATTCAGTTTTATTCTTTAGAGATTTTGTCTATATATAAAAGTCGATAAATATGGTCTTTTCAAATCTAACCTTTCGGTGTTCCAGTACTACCACTAGTATACATAATAACAGCAGTGTCTGTTTTATTAGGTCGTACGTGTAAAATATTTGTAGCTAAATAAAAAGTTATTTTGTCAAAAAAGAATGAAAAGAACCATTTTAAAACTAACCAATTGTTGCATTTTTTCCTTGTTGTTCTAATTCATGTAACGGAATATATTCAACGTTATGTTTATCATCAGGTGATTTCGTTGCTTGTGATTTTACAAACGAAGGAAAATAAATGACATGACGAACTTTTTCTGTATGATCTAATATTTTCTAGATAAAATAAATAAAACTCTTTTCTTTTATAGAAACTCTTCTTATAAAAACAAAAACAATCCTACGTCGAGCTTTGTTAATAATTCATGTGAAGTAAAAATAATGGATACTTGTGACTCATTAATACCATGTTTAACAGCTTCTTCGCCTAAAGTTGAATAAAGTGTTACAACAGTTATACCATGACGAAAAGCCGCAAATGCAGTTAATAACCATTCAGAACGTGTTTCAGAAAAAATTAAAATCTTATCAGTTGGCTTAGCCCCGATTGATAATAAACCTCGACCGATAGCCAAAATACGATTATATGTTTCACGATACGTTGTGAATTTATATTCACCCAGTACAAACTAAATATCGGCATTAAATATTGTTTTTTAGATTTCATCTATAGAATGTAAAATAAATGAAAACCTTTTTGAATATTTTTCCGTTTGATTGTTTCTCATCTTGAACATCAAGAATTTCTCGAACACCTAATGTATCTTTATCCGCATAATGTTGAATGCAATAATCTGGTATATCAGCTAATGTTTTGACATTATCATCTGGTGTAGTTCGAAGTTCATCAAGAACGTCAACAGCACGATACGGTGAGGAAGGATCATAAGGATTAATTAGTTTTGCACGTGTTCGTTTTTGACGTCTAGAACGGTCCTCATCTTTTCCTAACGTCATTATTAAATTCCAAAGTGTGGGCAATTGAATAAACAATAATGTTGTTGAATAGATCAATACGGTTTTTAATAACGTTATTCCAAATCGTTTGAAAACTGTACTCAAACTTGAACCAAATATATAACTAAATGCTCCAGGAGACATACTAAATCAAAAAGCTTTTTGTTTCTTTTTCATCGGAACGTTTCGCTATTATGATAACAATCATGAGCTATGAGCAATCAAAGTCAACAAGAGCCTTACTGCTTACCATTATTCAAATCAGTTCGAAGAAAAGAAAAAATTTGTTGGATATTCTCTCAGAAAAATGTAACAATATGCTTTTCCAGTAGAAACATTGCAATAAATTTTACTCACCTGAACCTAAGCTATCAAAGTTTTAAAGACAATTCAAAATGATATCATCTGTTTAAACTGAAAATATCTTGAAAATGAAAGCAAAAAAAGACTTGATATCTCTTTGTAATTAAGCCACATACATCTTACACCGACTAAGGAGTGTAAAAAAACGAAAATTAATCAAGTGCATTTCTTTTTTCAGAATAATTTACTGATATGAAAAAACCAAAGAATAGCAGAAAAAACAACAAAACAATATTTTTCATGTGACTTTTGTTGTTTACAACCCTACGTCATTGAATAAGAGATAGATAATAATTCTTTTCTCACTTCAAGTATCTTCTTCCCTTTTTAGAAGATATGATTCGATAGATGATAGCGACAGAGGATCAAGATCTATATAGCATCATTGATAGGTGTCTCTCAACAACATGGCTCTTCAAAGAAAAATCCTATTGTCAATTCTAGACAAATGCAAACATCTATTGAATTTGAATTTGAATAGACAACAAAAGCAAAAGGTAATAATTGAATAGTTTATTTATATATCTTGTGTCAAAGCAAAAGGTAATAATTGAATTTGATATTTCAAAATTTAAATTAAACTAAAATTGAGAACAACTAGAAGAAAATTATTGCAATAATTTCAAGTTTTTTAGTTCACCAGTTAATTTCAATCAAGTCCTGCTGTTTTTGAGAGAATTGTTTCGTATTAAATCAATTATTAGAATAGATTGGAAAGAGAATTTATAAAAACTAACCACAAGTGTCTTGAATTATTGCTAAAACTCCTATAAATTGCAGTATTGGATATATTGTAAACTCATTTTAAAAATCTGATTAATTTATTTATTCTGGTTAACTCAAAAACATGTTCTATTTTGAGGTCTAGGTGTTGTCTACCTATTCCTCATGGGAATTGAATTTGGTTTTTTTTTGAATATATTTTTTGAACATATTCTGGAAAAGTTGTCTAATACGAAAAGAAGCTAGTTTCAAAATACTTTATAATCAATTATAATCCATTTTAAAATTCAAATGTGCAAATTTTAACTGACACTAAAATATTATTGAAAGGTTCACATTAATTTCAGAGAATTTCATCATGACTATAGACAAAACAAAACAAAATTGATTGTGTTTAATATTAAATATCCAAATGTAACTAGTTTTTAAAAAGAAAAGAAAATATCATTTTTAATATATATCTTCTCAAGATTCACGCATGGCTCACTCAATTAGCTATATTGATCATGATATCTTTGTAAACTTCATCGGTGCGATCGAAAATCTTCTTTTGTCTAGACATATGTTGAGAGATGTATCAACTCTTTCACATTTTCTTGATCAAATTCAAGGACGATAATTTTAGTTAAATCATGTTTGGGTTGTTGTCTTTAATAATTCAATGATAAATTTTTCAATCAGTTTTTACTTGTTGCATGTATTATTTGATTGAAAAAGAAGTTTCTAGAAGTCTATTGAAACTAAAGGAAAAATAAACCTATGAAAGTTATTCAAGTTCTTGCAAGGTTTTTTTTCTTAATTTTGTTCTAATACGCTGTTTGTCCTTATTTAACATTTAGCAATATTCTATCTTTGTTTGACTAAATTTCTTCGATGGTATAAATGTATTTTTAATTTATACAAAATATGAAGCAAAATCCATATGTTTATTTTTCTCTTATTTTCTAAACTTTGGCAAGGATTAAAAGGACAGAAAAAAAACGTGTAGAACTTAGCGGATGATAGTCTATGAAAGCGATGTAGTTTATCGCGATTGTGAAGCTATTTGTCGAAGTTGATTCAGACATGTTTGTAAGGTATCTTGCTCTTGTTTAGGTGTGATTGATTTTTTAACTTGATCTGTAATCCAATTAATCATATTTGTCCGTTCAAAATCTTTTCTAGCATTTTGAAGAGCCACTTGATAATCTAATCGTCTTTTAACAGCTTCATACATTTGCTTCATTCTTTCACGATATGCTGCTTCCAAACCCATGTTGATAATATCTTTTCGAGCTTCTGCTAATAGACTAATACTTTTTGCACGTTCTAATGATTCTTCATAAGCATGCAGCATTTTTCCAGCCATGGCTTTTGAATTATTAACAACTGAATTATATCGACCAACTTCATCTTGATGCCAACCACGAAAGGTATCTCCAACTGTTGGACCAAGTCTATTAAAAGTAATCAATATTTATTCATAAATATGTTTTACTAAACCCATAAAAAGTGGGAAAACTATTTCAACACAATGCTCGGGATCATAGAAGATAGAATTGATGAATTCCAAATATGAAGCTTACATAATATTTAATTCCTATTTATTTTCTATTCAATGAAATAGAAGCAAAAGAGTTGATAGAATTGAAAGAAGACAACAAACATCAGACTCGACGGAATGCGTATAATAGAAATTAGTCACAACTTTTACAGAAGAAGTTTTGTCAAATATTTTCTTTCAACGGATTTTATTAAAACTTGAAAGTATTTAAGTCAATATCATTTTTTTTCTTTTGATAAATAGATTATGTTATGTCACTGAAAAATATCCCATTACGTTCTATTTGCAGTCATTTTTCAATAGCATCTCTCAAATGTAATATTATTGCAACAAAGAATAAACAAATTTCTATAGAATCTAATTTTATTATTTTTTATAACGATAAACATGATCAATGGGTGGCACGGATTTTTGTTGTTTTTTCCTAAAACCATTGAAAATCCATATAGTAATAGTAATATCAACTTCAGTATTACATTTAAATTAACTTTGATGAGAGTTTCAAAAACAAAAAATGACTTTAATTTTAATTTTTCTCAATATTTTGTTATCGTAATGAAAATGTATTCATTCATAATTTATAGGTATTAATTTAACTTACTTTTTAACAACAGTAATAACAGCTGCAGCCAAAATAAGATATTCAGTAAAATCATACCACAGAACGATATATTCCTTGCTAAATCCATAGACAAGTAAGCCATAGAAAAACATATATGGTCCAGTAACACCAGTTTTTTCATAGAAAAATTTAAACCATGATTCTGGTACACAATACCAACGCACTGGATTTGGTGCGTCACGAAGTTTATATGGTGGAAAATTAACCAGATCACGTTCTGGCCACTGATCATGAGGCCATAAACGTTTTCCATTAAATTCAGTACGCCAATTAACCGACGATAAATCTTTTAAGGAATCTTCAACTCTCAAAACCTTTTCATCGCTTTTTTTTTCAACTAATGATTTATCATCTAAAACCATATTATTTTGATTTTTGTTATTCTTGGGGGGGAAAAAAACAAGAAATAGACAAATACCTGTTTTGAATTTGGAAGAAGCACCTTGGAAGAGTATACTCGAAATTGACCATGGTCGAATTGTGAGCGACAATGGTGAAGCTCGATTAACTATAAAAGGATGAGCAACTTTGGTCAACATCTATTAAGTGAAAGACAAATTGCTCTTATTCTGATCTTTTTTTTACATCAAATAAACTGTAAATAAACAAGTAACTATAAAGCGACCTCTGTTCCTTACCGACGAACAAATAGAGAGAAAGTACTAAATTATAATAAACTTTTTTATTTATAAAAAATGTTCCCTAAAATAATTTCCTATGATAGTTATTATATGCACGCGAGTAAAGAGAGAAGCGATAATGATAAGAATGGTTAAATAATCACCAATCATCAATTGGCAAATTAAAAATGATTCATGGTTCGAAATGATGACACACACACACACACACACACACAGACAGAATAATAACCATGTTTGTCATCAATCAACAAATGTCTTCGATGCAAAGAGAAAAATATTAGTACGAAATAGCTAACGTAAGACAAACGTATTCTTATTATCTAGTTCTGTTATATTTTAAAAAACATAATAAACAAATAAAAAATTTAGAATCAATACAAATAAGATGATTATGCTCATAAAATATTGATCAAATTATCTTTCGTTTTGGTAGTTCTTCAAACATTCATCGAATGAATTAATTTCATTCTCTCATATGGATTAATTTTCTATTAAATCGTTGAAATATTACATAAAAATGATGTGTTCACAGAATTAAATCATCAATTCTACTACCATTGAAATTTATCATATCTACAATACATATTGAGAGAATTATTGAAGTCTAATTTTACTTTGAAAAATTTAAACATCATAAGCTTTACAGATTGTATTCTATAGCTCTAATGGGTTGCGGCTTTATCGATTGAAAAAGATTTAGAGTTGGATTCTTTACTAATCAAGAATATGTTCTACCAGTCGGAGAGTGTGATCATTCAGTATTAGTCTTGTCTATGGTAATATATCTTATTGATATCTGATTTATAATACGATTATATTTGTTGATGATAAAATGACATCAACAATAACATTAGAATATATAGCATGAGAAAATACAAAAACTTTGATACCTTACCCCACACAAAACTTTTCAAAACAAAATAAATCCTGATGAAAGTAAGAGTACAATAGAATCTGTTCTATAGTTCTTAATACAAACTTTTCTTTATCGTTGCAAACATTGTCTGACATATCTTGAATACAATATTTTTGTGATTACGAATTAAAATTTTGTTCTCAACCTATTGACAACTTACGAGTTAGTATTTATCGAGGATATTTCAATGACAAATTGTTCTTCTCAATGTCTTGCTTTCAATGCAAATCTAGATAATTTTTCAAATATTTCTTTAGTGAAAATGAAAACTCGCCAATATGTTTCCTATAGTATATTTGAATTGTTCTTATGATTTCTGTTATTTTACTTGAAAATATTCATGGTAGAAATTTATTTTTAGGTCACAATCAAATATTGAATTATTTTTATTATTCTTTTAAAGGATTTATCTATTTTTTAATATGAAAAATAATTGTCCGATTATTACTTGAATCAATTGAAAAATATCAAAGTAAGAATATTCTATTCTATTTCGTGATAGTATAGATTTTCATTTTATATATTACGATTAAAGGTGATATAAACCATGCACAGTACAGACGACAAGAATGGAATTAGAAGTAATCGAAAATTCCTGTGACGATTATAGAAAACATTCAAAGGAGCCACAAGTCAAACGATCGTAGTTATTACCAAATTTTATTTCTTCAAAATGAGTCTGTTTTCATTGTATTTGACTTATTCACAATATGATCGATATATAATTAAAATATTTTTTTAAACTTTTGATATAAAAAACTGAATTCTTTTTAATAAAAATAAAAAAAAATAAAAAGAATTTTCTTTTTTAGAAATAAACTGAAAAATAATGAATTTGCTGGGTGTTGATGTAAGTGGTGCTTGTGCAACATTCTCACGTCTTTGTTATTTCGGAGCTCCTTGGTATTCAGTTATTGTTCAATGGTATCGCCAACAAAGATCAGATCATTATCGTTATCCGTCATCTGACGACGATATACAAGTTGTATATGAATCAAAAAACTATATTGTTGTTAATAAAGATGATCTTGTTCCAATTGATGCATATGATGCTCCGTCGCAAGTTAATGTAACACAGCAGGTGAAAAAATGGTTTGAAAGACGGGAAACAGAAAGATTTTTCAAACAAGAACCATCACCTACTGAACAACAAATTGAACAATGGAGTAAAAATTTAGCACAAAAAATTGAAGATATTCGTTATTGTCATCGACTTGATTTAGGTAAAATTTAGAATTGAAATGAGTAATTTAGCAAAACTATGAATACTTAAGGTACAAGCGGTTGTATGTGTTTTGCTCGTTCAACAGTTGCAAGTTTTCTTGCTTATAAAGCATTTATTGATAAACGTGTTTTAAAATATTACTTAGCTCTTGTTCAAGGCCATCTGCATGCAAATTATCCAATATTTGTTGACGTACCTATTGGAGAGAATGCTTCATCTTATGGTCGAATTATGTGTACAAATGATCATCCATATTGTACATATCCGAAAGCTGCACAATCTCATATCGATGTTTTAGAGCACGGTGAATACGATGGAAAACCAGCATCGAAAGTACTTGTCAGAATTTTAACAGGCAAAAGACATCAAATTCGTTTACATATGAATTATTTGGGCCATCCAATTGTTGGAGATTATATTTATACAGAACCCATTGATTATAAACCACATAGAATTATGTTACATGCAAGATCTTTAACCATTCATACTGATCAAGAGTTAGTTGATGCTTTAGCAAAAGATCCTTTTCTTACACAGTTTGATCCAAAATGGAAGAGAACTAAAACAATATATCCGATTAATCGTTGGTAGAATTTTCTGTTATTTGAATAATGTAACATCTAGTCTGTTATTTGTTGTTTTTAATGTTTCACTGGTAAGAAAAAGATTTGTTTTCAAATATACTTTGTCTCTTTGTCGAAAAAAATACAGCAAATGATATTTATTAGATATTGTTATCAAAAATACAACTTTTCAACAATTATTTTCTTTAAACAAACAAAGTACATATCATACCATAAAAAATTCTCTACGCTGACTTGAAACTGTGGATTGAAATACTCATATTAGTTTCTCTGCATGAAAAATGTCTTTCTTTGTTTGTTTTTGTTTTTGTTTTTATATTTACATGAACTCGACAGTATTTTTCTATGAAGTTAAATATCTAATATTTCTTCATGGAGAGTTTACAAACATTTTGTTCGTTGTAGTTATTCTATATGGAAACAAACAAGACTTGTTTCATCGATATGGTGTTATCGTACGAGTGATAATAAATACAAAAATCAAACAAACAGAATAGCTCAATAATGAAAAGACTGTAAATTGGAATTTTAATTCAAACCGTTTCAAAAGATATGGACATATCAAAAAATGAATTACCTAGTTAGAGATGTACATAATATGCATTTATGATGAAAAATTCCTCCTACTATCAAAATAAAGAGTATCAGTCTTTTTATCTGAATATTTCTAAACAGTGAAGAGACAAACAAGTCTACCACGAATCGAAATTAATGTTATATATACAACGAGTAGACTTCATCTACATGATTTGAGATTGATAATGAAAAAACGAGGTAATATATGACATTAGCTTTCATGGTTCCAATGTGACTGTTCAAAAGCAAGCTAATCATATACCTGATCAAAACGGTAAAACACACACTAACAATAACAGGAACGCCATTGAACACTATGCTAAATATTCTTCATATTAGGGATATGTGATATCTGACTTGCACATGTCGAAGAGTGAATTTAGCTCAATGCTATAACTTGTATATGAGTCTCGTGTTTCGACGCAATCAAAGAAGAGATTTTGGTTCGACATTATGCCATATGAAAAATTTAACTAACACAACTAATCTTGCCAAAGTTTCATCCAACATACATAAAAGCGCAATGGCAAACGCCTGTTGTCCAGCTGTTTTAAACATAATTCGCATATTCATTTCAAATATTTTATTTTTGCAAATGAAAGAAACAATAGTAAGAATATATTGTGCGGATGTGGTTAATAACAGAAGAGACCTTCTGCCTATTTATACTCACATTCAGTCTTATTTTCATCATATATTATATTCAGAAAGAAATTGAAACTTTTTAAACAGACGACTTTGCTATGAGCTATGCTCAGAACATTGCCGATCGATAAATCACATGAATTTGTTGATTTAAGATGTAGCACGGTCTTCAAGTGCATATAATTGATGAATCTAATTTGATTTGGTAATCATGTTCGCCAAAATTTTGATGCACGTGTTATGTATCTGATATTTATATCAGGACTGTTCGTTGCTTTTGCCTTAGTTTACGTCTTGTCTTATTAATTAGTCTTCTACTAGAAGTCTCAGGAGTTGGAAGGGACTTAAACTCAATCAGAAGAAATTTCGTTTGACTCTAACTAACGTTCAGCATTTTTTCCTAGACAATTGTCAAACAGTAGCAATGCTACTTCCACTGCATTCTGGCAAGTCTAATAAAAATTTCCCAGTCGACTTCCTCAGTTATTCTTCGTAAAGTTTCAGTACGATCGAAATACCCTTACATATGTTAATAGATTCCTTATGATTATGTATCATAATTTTATTTAGGCAACGTTCAAAATTAGAGACGAATCATTAAATGATACAGATACTACTTGATAAAAATAACGGATTATTGAAAATATGCTGTTATGACGATGATTGATTCAAATCATATGTGATTAAGTAGAAGACATGCAAAAATTAACATTTGTTCTTGAAATGTGTGATTCCCTAGCAAAATTTTTGATAGTTCTATGCTTTCCATATCTTAAAATTCCTGTTGATGCAAGGTATGAACTTGCTTAGTCAGATCATTATCCACTCTTCCAAATAACTTTTCTAAATGCTAGAAACTGATTCATGAAAGTTAGAATCACTAGCTATTTTCTATGTCTCTCTTTATTATTGCTGATCTAAAAGGTTATACTGAATATTTAACATATGCCAACTGAATAATTATACAGTATGTTTTTCAGTATTATACATATTCTATCTGAAGAAAAAATAATAATACATGTGAATAATAGATTTCGTATTGACAAAGATGAAAATGATAGTGTAAGTTTTCAACACAATGGATAGCATTACATAAAATACTAGTTGATACAACTAGAAATATACACGAAACAATTTTTTGGTTCTATAATCTTATGTATCGAAATTGAATCTTCTTGAATCGCCCATAATCAATATAGGAAAGTTTCTGTAACAACTGCAAAGCTTTCAGTTTTTTGTTTATATATGAAGTATTTATCATGAATCTACTCAATTTCATGTTTTACACTTTGATCTTTTTAAATGAAACTTCAAACAATATCATAAGTATAGATCTTGAGAATGTTTTTATTGTTACAAATAATAATGTCGTAGTTGAAAGGCTACAAATTCGTACAATTAATTAGTTAAAATGAAAAACATGAAAAATAAACAACAACCGTTTGCTTTCTAACTGGTATATGTGGATTTAATATTCTTTTCGAATAACAGCAACATTGTCAATGCTTCATTTCAATTTTCTATCGAAAATTTAGCTGAATAATTCTGATATATTGATAAATGTTTGTAATATCCTTTAATCATATCTAATCGTTACCCACATTTCACACGTCTAAGTCTACTATTGTTATTGATTATGATTATCGTTGGAGAGAGATTTACGATGTCTGATTTTATTTTACCTGAAAGCAATCATACCTCATCGAAGGTGGATTCTTTTTATTATCTAATCAAATTGTAATATTACACAAAATGTCTCTTAAAATGCTAAGTAACATAATATGTTAGTAAAAGAAATAAATCGAAGTGTCGATGAATATTATGATAGATCCAAAGGATACTTACATCTACGCACAGTTCGTTGCTTTCTTTCTTATTGTGTACTCAAAAAGTAAGTACACTCTAGAATCGGTCAGTGTGTCCGGCCGGCCGTCCGTTTACAAGATAACTTTCGAAAGGAGAGTTAGGTCATGATGAAATTTTCTACACAGTTCAGCCTCATCAATGTCTCAGTCGAATTCGAAGATGAGAAGGATCCGTCAAGAAATGGCTGAGCTATCGAAAAAATTGTCATTATTGACCAGACTATCCCTGAGGGGGAGTATAGGGATTTTTCAAAA